GGAGCAGTCGGAACACATATAATATTTACTAAATCTGCTATCTTATATGGGGACAGTTCATGGTGCCCCAAAACAATTGTAATAGTAACATCAAAGAGCACAAATTACCATCACAGATATAATAGAAAGTGTGAGATAATGTGGGAATTACCAAAATGTGACAGAGACATAAAGTGCACACATATTGTTGGGAAAATGGTGCTCAGAGACTTGCTCTATGCAGGGTTCCCACAAACTTTCAATTTGGTTTTTTTTGGAGACAGTGTCTCGCTATGTAGTTCAGGCTGACCTTGAATTCACTGTGTAACTCAAGCCAGCCTAAAACTTGTGGTGATCCTCCTGCCTCAGCCTCCCAAGTGCTGGGATTATAGGCATGCGCCACCATACCTCGCCAAACTTTCAATGTGTATAAAATGCAGTATCTATGAAGTGCAATAAAAAGAAGCACAATAAAACAAGATATGTTGGTAGTATCCTTTAAAGATTAATGCAGGAGCAAATTTTCCCCCATTGATTCTAATAATTTATTCTTTATGGCAAAATATAAGTCTACTTTTCATTTGTACCTTTAACCAGATGACAGGAAAATATATGAATATAAACTTACCAGAAAATACAATACATCTTATTATTCCTACATAAAAGGCCCCCTTTTTTGGCCTTCTCATGGTGGTGAAGATCATTTAAAGGAGATAACCAAATACACAAGGGAACTCTATTAATAGGTGAATGGCATCTAAGTATAAATACACTCCCTCAGATTTTTTTTGGTACCGGGGATTGAACTCCTGTCCTTGCGCTTGCGCAGCAGGCCGTAAAACCACTGAGCTAAATCCCCGGCCCTCCCTCAGATTTTTTGTAGTACAAATAATTAACAAATGAATAAACTTAGAAATAGATCATAATTCAATTTCTGGTTCTGTGATTATAAATAGCAAAGTCTCTTAGCTTTTCCACAATGGAGAGGAATGGAGAATGTATCCTTATTAATATAAAAGAACACATATACTAAAAAATATATTTTAAAATGTCCAAAATTTAAAAATCCAGAATTCTAAACCAGAAAATTCTCCTTCTTTGTTCAAAATTGATGTTCATAATCATGGTCAAGGCACTGTATTGTGAATTATGATAGTTTAGTTATTCACAGTCAAGTATGCATTATATTTCAATGGTCATTGTTATTGTGACTACTACAAACTAAATGGCCAGAATTCATTTAATGAGAACCCATCTTCCCTCTTTTCATACATTTAAATAATCATTTTTCTATACAAATGTTGCAGAAATGTCGACATATGATACTTACACTTGGCATACAGACAGTCCATCATCGATTGTACTAAGTCCAATTTGGCCTTGATGGAAAAGTTGATAAAGTTAGTATCAACCAGGATATGATATGGTGGGCCCAGCTGTGTATTATATTGGAAGAATAAGCAGGAAGGATGTTGGGGGCTGAAGGAAGAAGAAAATAAAGACACAAAGTCAAGTCTACACTGACACTCTGGTAAAAAAAAAAAAAGTTTCTGCTTGGGACAATTCACTATATATTAAGCTCCTTTTCTTTTGTTCATTGGAGATAAACCCTAAAAAGGAAGGCAAGGAAGAAAGTAACAGCATACCTTAATCTCAGGTCTACTAGCACGTTTTGCCACAACTTTAAAAAAGCAATTAGGAACAGAACATCATGAGTGCAAAGAGGTAGAATATGGCTCCCATAACTAGAATGATACTATGGCAAGTTTGCCATCCTCACAGGATCCTAAAATGTTGCACAAAACGTGATACAAGAGAATAGTTTGTCCACCATTAGGACTATGTACTACAGCAGGGCCTGTTTCTCATCTAAAAGTCCAAGATGTTTAAATGCTAATCCATGGACCAGAATCCACAAGTGATCATATAGCTATCACCAATTCAGGACAAAAAGAGAAAAATAAGAAAAATGTCCTGAGGCTTTTGTAAAATTAGATACATATTTAAAATGAATGGCTTTTATTCTAAAATACAATCCTTACTATTTTTTCACTGGAAGAATGCTGGTGTGTTAAGTGATGGCAATTATTTTAAAAAATCTTTTTTATTAGTACATATTTGCCATACACAATGATCACATTCACATTCATCATAGGGAATTTGTACCTATACATAATATACCTTAATTCTTCTTTTTTCCCCATTCCCCCCCCATTTACAGCTTTGTTTCCGTTTTTTTCCTTCTAGTCTTTTTTCATCCTTACCCCCCTCTTTCTGTTCTCGTTCGAACATGTTCTTTCTACTTCCTAATATCTATTCTCTATTTCACTTTTATTTACCCTCTGGATTTCTTACACAAGAGAAACAATGCAATATTTACACTTGTGTGTCTGATTTATTTCACTTAACGTTATGGTCTCGAGATAGATCGATTCACCTAAAAATGACTGAAGTTTATCCTTCTTTATGGCAGAGCAGTACTCCACTGTATATAAATACTATATTTTCTTTATCCATGCATTTTTTTTTTTTTTTTTTTTTTTTTTGGTACCAGGGATCAAACTCGGGTCCTTGCACTCGCGCAGCAGGCGGCGAAACCACTGAGCTAAATCCTCGGCCCATCCATGCATCTTTTGATGGGCATATGGACTGTTTCCAAGATTTAGCTATTATAAATCATGCTGCTATAAACATAGGTATGCATATATCACTGTAGTATGTTGGTTTTTTTTGGTACTGGGGAAAGAACTTGGGACCTTGCACTTGTAAGGCAGGCGGTGGAACCACTGAGCTAAATCCCCCGCCCCTGTGGTATGTTGCTTTTAACTCTGCAGGGAAGACACCATGAAGAGGAATAGCTGGGTCAAATGAAACCTCTAGTTTTAGTTTTTTGAGGAATCTCCATAGTGGTTATATCAATTTACACTCCCATCAACAGTGAAGAAGAGTTCCTTAGCCTCCCAGATTGCTAAGATTACAGGCACATACAACCACACCCAGCTGAAAGCCTGAATTTCTTAGAGGTCTATGGTTTTCAAACATCTTTTATTCTTAAAGGAAACCTTGAACATTTTGATTACTCACACTTCTCTTTCCTTTAGAGCACTCGGATCTTTCTTTTCTTTCTTTTTAGGTTTTAATCTATCCTTCTCTTTGCTGGAAAAGAAAGTAAATACAGAGAAGAAAATATAGTAGTTATATAATTCCATTCAAAAGTTTCATTTTTTTTTTTTAACAACAGAGAAAATCCTACTTTCTGACATCTTTTAATACTGACAAAACATTTTCTGAGCAAATAACCATAGTGGGAAGTAGGCTAGAAGTAACACAGTTAATCAGTAAAGCCAATAGTCCAAAAAACTGTTAATAGGTACATGTTGATTATACTATAATTTGTCAGAAGGTCTCAGATCAAGGATCAAAATCCACTGTCAAGCAGTGGGTGAACAGTCTTCTTGTGAAGACTCAGATGCTATAACAGCATGGGCAAAAAGGTTATCCCTTATGCTTCTTTTTTTGTTTGTCTTTTTGAGACAGGGTCTCGCTGTGTAGCTCAGGCTGGCCTCCAGCTCACAGCAATCCTCCTGCCTCAGCCTCCTGAGTGCTGGGATTATAGGCGTACACCACCACGCCTGGCTTCCATATGCTTCTTATAAATGACTAAAACAATATAAATGCAAAATTTAAACCTGAACTAGAAAAGAAAACTATCAATGGGACATCATTCCTTTTAAAAAGTAGGTAATAAATCTATACTAAAGGCTGAGAGGAATAACTTTTAATGACCATTCTCTTGTTCTGAGACTCTTAAACACAGTGATGACCAGTCTTTAATAACTTTGTCCCTGTCTTCACGTGAGCAAGAAAACTGTTTAGATCATCTCTCTTTTTTTTTTTTTTTTTTGGTATTGGGGATCGAAATTGGGACCTTGCATTTGCAAGGCAGACGCCGGAACCACTAACCTAAATCCCCGGTCCTAGATCATCTTTATAATGGAAAATACCATTCTACTTTCTTCCACAGTGATCTGGATTCTTAGATTTATAAAATGGAGTTTTCCTACTCTCTCTTTCAAAAATATTTTTGTGTTTGGCGTTAAGAGACACACGCCAAACATGGTCTCTGACCTCACGGTCTTCGAACAATGACAGTAAAAACATTTTCCCCTGCTGAGGTGTATAGTGTAATGATAAGAACATAAGACAACCATTATCTACCTCACATAAATGTTACGAGGATTAAAGGATTAAATGTGATATAGCATATAAAGTATATGACAATGATAGCAGAAAGAAAACATTTAAGAAATATTTAATTTCCATCGCCTTTTCCAGTGTAATCGCTCAGCTAAGTACTATTTTTGTTTTGTTTTTTGGTACCGGGGATAGAACTCGGGTTCTTGCGCTTGCGCAGCAGGCGGCGAAACCACTGAGCTAAATCCCTGGCCCAATACTGTTATGCACTTAACTATTCCGTTACATAAATCAAAGGCACAATAATGTAAGTAAAAGCAAAATACCAAAACCTTTTACTACTTATCCCCTTAAGACTCTTATTTGTAGGCAGCCTATGAGCCCCGTTGATTTCGGACACTCACAGTCTCTCATCTCTGAGACTAAGCATCCGCTTCATGGTCGCATACTTCCTTGCTTTCTTTTGTTTCCCCTTAAAACAAAAATTTTAGAGTTAAAAGGATTGGAAATACATTGCATCTTTTAAATTTCCTTCTTTTGTCCATCCCCTTTCCTTCTTCCCTCAAACATCAGCCTCTCCTCATTCCTTAAAACAGCTTCCATTCGGAGCATTTAAGAGGTAAGATCTGAAGGAAAAGAAACCAGGAGAATGTAGAGGAGCAAGTATGGTCAAACACCGAGGCCCTCCTTATTCGTCCCAAAAAGTGGTCTGACAAGGTTTCTTCTGGGGCACGCTTTTCTCACCATGTTCACGCCAAACTCCAGTTTCTTTCGGAATCGCCCAGAGCGCGAAACTTTGACGTCATCACATCTGCTTCCGGCAAATGCTGACCCGGAAGCGGAAGTCACTTAGCGAAACGGAAAAAATCCGGAGCCGACTCTCAGCCCCAGTAGAGGTTTAGACTGGGGTCTCTTGGCGGGAGGGTTGAAGGCGGGTGTTCTGCCGGTTGCTGCGGCCGCCTCCCAGGACACCAGAGCTGGGATTTCCCTCGCGCTGTAGACCTCAGTTCAGGTAACGTTTCTCTTCAGCCCAAGGCAGAGCTCAGTTCATCTGCCTGCACCAAAGTTCCACAGAGGGAGGACAAGGGTGAGAATCCTGGGTTGCCCAGTAGTTTTGGGAAACATTCTCTTTATCCCCCAGCACTGGAGTACCAGGTGTCTGCCATTCAGTCCTGAGGCTCTCATTCTTTTTGCGGGGGAGGGGGATAGCGTGGTGCTTCATACGCCTTAAGGGACGATTCTTCGCAAGTAAATACTGTATTGCAGATTTCGTCTCGGTGGAGAGATGAAGCAGTGATTGTGGGCCTTTAGGCTAACGCCAGAAAATTGGACCATAAACTTGTATATGTTACTATTTGTCAAGTTAGGAAAACGTGGGAAACAATAGTGAAGACTTAAAAGGAAAAGGGTCAATTTGTGAGAACAAAAAGAGAAAGCTAGTTGTGTATTATTATATTATTATTTTTCGTATCTGCTATGTAATGTAGTAGTTCTTAACCTTTTGGAGATCATTTGTACTTCTTGAAAGTTTGTGCAAAGCCAGGGACAATTCTTTAAAAACTGGGCCCACAGGCACAATTTATAAGATTTGTAGACTATGAAGCCCATCTCTGGACCCTTTTAGTGTTTGTAAACTTCATATTAAGAACCCTCTGTCCTAACACAGGTGTGAGGTGTGGTGGTGCATGCCTGTAATACCAGCACTTGGGAGGCTGAGGCTGATGCAGGAGGATTGCACAAGTTCGAGGCCATCCTGAACTACAGTATTGAGACCCTGTCTAAAAAAAAAACTAATGAAAGAACCCCCCCTCCTGTGTACTGAACTTGGCACTTAATGTTATCTTCTTTGACTTTCTTTTTTCTTCTGGTATTGGAGATTGAATCCAAGGTTTTGCACGAAGCTACATCTCCAACCCTTTTTTGTTTGTTTTTTGACTTTTTTGAGACAGTGTTTCACTATGTAGTTCAGGCTTGCCTTGAACTCACTTTGTAGCCCAGGCTGGCTTTGAACTCTCAGTGATCCTCCTGACTCAGTCTCCCGAGTGCTGAGATTACAGGCATGCCCCGCCATGCCCAGCTTCCAACCATTTTTTGTATTTTTTATTTTGAGATTATCTTAGTAAGATACCTAGGGTAGGCTGGAACTTGCAGTCCTCTTTCTTGTCTCAGCCTCCCAGAGTACTGTGATTGCAGGCATGAGCCATCACAACTGACTTTCTTTGACTTTCACAATCACTTAAGTATCTTCATTTTGTGTATGGGGATGCAGAGGCCTAGACTTTGTTCAGGGATCTATTTGATCCCAAAGCTTGTGCTTTTTTGGGGTAGGGGTAGCACTGGGATAGAATCCAGAGAATCCAGGGCCTCCCATACACTAACCATGCGTCTACTACTGAGCTACACCTCCAGGCCTGCCTGCCTGCCTGTGTTTTTCTTACTACTTGATGCTATTCTAAAATGTTTGGAAGCCAAAGAAGTTGCAGGTTAAAAGAAATAGGTGACCATTGTATAACCCCTACTATAAGACAGTGTATTGGTTAGCATGAACTTTGGAGTTATACTCCAAAGAGTTAAAAAAATAAAATCCATTCTCTGCGTCTTACTAGTTGTGTGACATTGGGTGACTTAATCTATCTGTGCCTCAGTTTCCTCATCTGTAAAATAGAGATAATAGTACTTGCCTTATAGGGATGTTATGAGGACTTGTGCTATCCTACTCATATTTAAAATACAAAGTCCCTAGAACAGTGCCTACCACAAAGTAAACTGTCCAAGTGTTTTCTGTTATTTTGTGAAGTGTGTCTTCCAACTGTGGTAGACCTAGAATTTTATGCCAGTTGTACTTTAATATATTGCTTTACTTTGGAACTTAAATAATGTTAATAAACCTCAAAAACTTGTGTTTTGTTTTGTTTTTTGAGACGGGCCATCTTTTGTGTAGTTTAGGCTGGCCTTGAACTCACTGTGTACCCTAGGCTGGCCGCCTCCCTCAGCTTCCTGAGTGCTGAGATTACAGGTGTGCACCACCACACCTTGCCTCAAAAACCTTACTAAGGGCAGGGGATTTAGCTCAGTGGTTCCTCCGCCTGCCTCTCAAGTGCAAGGTCCTGAGTTCGATCCCCGGTACTAAAAAAAAAAACAAAAAAACTTATTGTTTTCAGGTCTTGAAAAAATTAATTGCAGAGCAATTTCTTGTGTTGATTTGGATGTAGACCTAGTGTTCTTCCTACTTTTTTTGGCATGCATAGATTAATAGGTAGCTTTATAGTTTATATATCATTGGCTCTGAATTTTTTGTGTTGAAATATTTATTATTGAAACATCTACAGGTACTGTATGTACTTGTTTTACTTCATTTGAGGCCACTAGGCATTCCTAGTCTTTTCAGAACAGCTCATCTCTCTCAAGCTGTCTCCTGAAGAGCCAATGGCAACCACTTTTTTTTTTGATACATTAAAACCCCTTGGTGATTAGGAAATAAACTTTTAGGTAAGCATGGCCAGTTATGTTTTTGAAAACATTTGGAGACTGATTAATATTATATATGTGGTCAGAGGGAAATTGCATGTGAGTAAATAGTAATTTGCATTTAAATTCAGGCACTAGCAGAAAAACACTTTCCTGGTAAAGTATCCGGAATTTTGGAATCCATGAACAATAATAATCTTTTTTAAAAGCAGTTTTTCATTTCTATTCTGAGAATTTTCCAATTTTCTTGATTGTTAATTCTTTTTTTTTTTTTTTTAGTACCAGGAATCGGACTCGGGACCTCGCGCTTGCGAGGCAGACGCTGGAAACTCTGAGCTAAATCCCTGGCATATTTTTAATATTTTTTTTGGTGATTGTTAATTCTTGATGAGGGATGATTTAGTGTAGGGACACCATAAAATATGAGACCGTACTTTTAAAAAAGTTCCTGCTTTATTGTAATTGGAGGGAGGGGAGCGGATTTTCTTTTTTTTTTTTTTTTTGGTACGGGGATTGAACTTAGGACCTTGCGTTTGCAAGGCAGGCAGCGGAACCACTGAGCTAAATCCTCGGCCCACTTCATTGTAATTTTGATGAAATCTCAAATTCTTAGTCTATGATTAAAGTAGTAGATATTCTGTGCATTCTTTAATGGAGATGGGAAGGGGAGAGGTGCTTTTGATTGTGTTGGATGGAAGCAGAAATTAAAGATCACCATCCTCTTCCCCCACACACTGAGGATTGAACTCAGAGCCTTATGCTGGGTGCCTACATCCTCAGCCTTTTTTTTTTTTTTTTACCTTTTTAAAATTTTGAAACAGAGTATTGCTCAGTTGCCCAGACTGGCCTTGAAATTGTAATCCTCTTCAGCCTCCTAAGTGCCCAGGCAAGTAATTGCTTTTGAGTGAGGAAAAGAAATGATTTTAGTCTTTCTCAGCAGTCAAGAGGTTATTTTATGTTTTTCTACAGTCTTGAAAAGACTCCATCAAGGCGTTGGTCCCACAGTTTGAACACATATTTGGGCTTGGACTTTATTCACTAATTGGTCTAACTTACTACTGTTTTGTTTTGTTTTTTTACTTCTGTGATTTAAGTTGATTACAAAATTTTTAATAAAATATTATGGATAATGAGAGGTGCCTTAAAGAACATCTTGTGTTTCAGTATTAGAAAGTCATTGCTCCCTAATGGTCTGGTGGTTAGGAATCAGTGCTCTCTCAATGTTAGAAAGTTATAGGTGGCTTCACTTTTGTGGTCATCTGGGTAAACAAAATTAATTTAGAGATATTTTCTCCACTTTTAAGTTAGGTTTTTACATTTATCTGTATGACTCATTACAAAGCTTGGTTGCTGTTAATTATTTTTCAATTAACTTGACTGCCTCTTAAATGTGGTAGCATGGTGTATGGCACATTCTAACTCTTGATATTTAATTGATTTTTAAGAACACCTTCAGTAGATTATTGTCACCTGTTCATGCACAAACCATTTATTGAAAGCCCTTTCTGCCCTAGGCAGTGTGTTACTTACTCTTGAAGACCTCAGTCCTAACCACAGAGAAAAACTTATGAACAGTTAAAATTATGGCAGGTGGTTGAATAGAGATTTGTGAATTGTAATATTTTAAAGAAATTACTCCATCTGCTCATCTTCCTGAAAGTGGTTCAGGTGAGGGCACTTTTGTACAGTATTAATGGAATCAACATACTCTGTCAGAGATTCTATTTTATGATCGTAATGAATTCTAATATATCATTTTACCTTTTAAATGGCTGTAGCCATTAACTAGCTTAGGTTTAAATTTAGTTATTTGTTTTCTTTTTCTTGAAGTTTTCATGCATTTTTAGCCTTCACTGATATTTTGTACAGTAGTTTTCAAACCTTTGAGATTGTTTTACTTTATTGTAAATATATGTTTGTACCTACTTGCATTCTTCATGCTGAAGCATTTCAGTGCAGTTTGCTTGTGTTGGGATTCTAATAATCAACATCTATTAATTGTATTTTCTATTTATCATACCCTTTGGCCAGAGATCAGGTAAAGGAAATATACAAAAAGTACATTTTCTAGTACAGTAGTATTAACTATTAATAATACAGGTCCCTTCACTTTATCCAGAGATCCAGCTTATGTTATTTTAACCTCTTGTCCACTTGGGAAGTTCACATCCAAGAGTACTTCCTAGGCCGGGGATTTAGCTCAGTGGTTCCGCTGCCTGCCTTGCAAGCGCAAGGTCCTGAGTTCGATCCCCGGTACCAAAACAACAAAAAAAGAGTACTTCCTGGTGTATATGGTCAAGCTGTTAAGAGAAAACAGCTAAAAACCCCCTAGTGCAATCTAGTTTTTCATGTCCTGATGAAGAAGGAATCCCAGCAAGGATGTGTAAATGGATTATAGAAAGGAACTGAAAAAGATTTTTAAAAAGTTTTAGCCTAGCATTATTTGAGTTGGGGAAGTGATTAGGGAGACATGTTCAGAATCCTGAGGGGGAGTGAGAATGTGAAGAAAAATTTTTATTGTGGAATAATTTTAAACTTATGGAA